AAGTTTTGCGCGTAAAACTCAGCATTTAAACAGATTTTCTGTTGTTTCAGAATATAACTCGAGTGGTGTTCCAATGCACGTTCAGAGGCTGCACCAAGTCATCAAACACCTGCGAAGACATCGAGAGCCACGTTCGATTAGAGCACAAGTAAGTTTGATGGGTTTTTTTTATCGGGATCAATCGCAGGCACGCCTCGACGCATTTTATTCAAAACAACTCAAACAGTACCTCAAGGCTAAGTAGCGAGTACAAAAAATTGTTGCGTAATTTTTCAATAAGCCAGTTTGCGTAACTGTGAGACACTGATGCGCGCTGCCAGCAAAATAATGTGGGTTAGACCGTTCGTCTGTCTTTACCCGAGCAACTAGCTGAATTTGGTGTTTGAAAAATCCACTTGCAATTTAGGTCATCTAACTAGACAAGCTTGGAGCAGGTCCAAGTTGGACTTTTATGAATGTTTCAACTGCTTGGTCGCGTGCACTCGTTAGGGAAGGTCGGGAAACTGCAACTAAAGTGAGTTTCCTGCGGATGCAGTTCGTCATCCACTCAAAACCGCTCGCTCCAACTCTGTTTTGTGTCTTGAGGAAACCGTTTGTGTTCTGAATCGGTTTAAAATCTGGTTTTTTCAAAGCAGTTTTATCCCATTCTAGCCCACTTGTGCATTTGATGCCCACCCAATGTTCAATTAAAATTCCCGCATCAAACAATGGAGGAGAAAAATACCATTTGAACACATTCAAGGTTTCAGCCTTGCTCCGTTAGCAAATTCCGGTACCATCGGAACGCCAATGCAGCCAAAACAGTTGATCGCCGACCCTGAACGCCCGAAAATACATTCCGTTAGTTGATTTTCTAAATTAGTTATTGAGCAAGACCACGCATTTTTCGGCAGCTTACGTAATACGCCGAATAGATTAATATGTAACCGACAGCTTCGGTTTTATTGCTTTTACCTTGTAGCTCATATGATGTGGTTTTTATTCAATAGAATGAGGTGCTGAAATTTTCGCATTTAACTCACACATTTGGCCACACATTTGGATGAATAGTGGCCCGTTGGAGCCTCAATAATTGCCAAAGAAATCAGCACGAATGCGTGTATTTTTGCCACAGTGTTGGGAAGTTGGAAGAACTAAGAAGATCAACTCTGAAGGCTTCGAGGCGTTTCTTTTGAAGCTTTAGTCAACAGAAATGAATTTTTCAACAGATACTGAAATGTTTTTTGTGCACAATCTACTTGCTGTTCATATGAGAGGTCGGTAATGAAATAGTGGAAGATTTATGAAAACTGGACGAAATTTCCGGGTATGGAAGTCAGGTTCATGATCTCCATAACTCGTTTGTAGATAAGTTCTATATTGTTGAGGCGGATTCATTTTTTTACAAACTTCTTTTTGGGTATTTCGCCTCAAAAATGTTTGTCTTTAAAAAAGACAGAATTTCCTCACGTCTTTTATTACAGTTCTTGATTACTTTTTGATAAATAATTCGTTCTTATTGCGAAATAGGAGCACTATTCATCAATCTGTAATAAAAGACGTGAGGAAATTCTGTCTTTTTTAAAGACAAACATTTTTGAGGCCAAATACCCAAAAAGAAGTTTGTAAAAAAATAACTCGTTTATTAGTGATATTAGAAAAAACCGCCGGTTTTCCGCCAAAATTCGAAAAAAACACCCTGTGTTTTTTTCTCCAGCCTCCAGCTAATGAATATTTGGCAAAGTGGCCACTGGATGCCCCTTGATAGCCCCAATAATTCCTGCTCTAGATGAGAAGTTACGAATTTTCAAAAACAAGCGTGCAGTTGAGCAAAAACTCAGTTTTTTTCTTGCGTTTCCAAAGCGTGGAAAAATCAGATTTTAGAGTGATTTGAATGAAACTTTCAGAGGTTTTAGCATTGAAGACCGTCTATGTTGGCCGTAAGTTTCCGGTTGTGGGCGGCTTTTAGT